AGTGGCAGATCAAAATTAACTTTGCATTGGGCAGACCAACTGCATAATTTTATTAAACAGCTTTGAGTAAAAAAGTGAAATCCTTCATTGTGTTTTCTCAGAAACTAACCAAAAGATTACAGTCTTACACAATTTAGAGACACAAAGTGGATGCTGAGTGGCTAGAGGTCACCCCAGGCATGGAATTGTAGTAAGTTAAGTCCTTGGAGTAAATGGCACCATGGCTCTGGCAGCAGATACAAAGGAATGATGCTCTGGAGAGGAGGTAGGGGACACTCTGCGGTCAGCCAGTGGACAGAGGAGGGTCCCAGTTTGAGGTGGGATCTATATTGAAAGGGAAAAAGCAAAGGCTTCAGAAACAGATATTAAAAATAACCTACAAAAATGTCTCTCTATACCAACCGATTGCTCATAATATGTGGGTTATATTCTATTAGCCTGCTGCTGCTATTGTTAAGTGCTTTTGAGTTGGCTCCGACTCACAGAGGCCCTATAGAGTTTCCAAGGAGCAGCCGGTCAGTTTGGACCACCAACTTTGTACTTAGTTGTTACTGTTGTTAAGTGCCATCCAGTTGGTTCTGACTCATAGTGACCCTGTGTAGGCTTTCTAAGGAGCAGATGGTGGGTTTGAATTGACTACCTTATGGTTATCAAACCAGGGCTTATACTACAGTACCACACCAGAACTCCTCAACCTAGGGTTCTATTTAATAAAATACTTGGACCCGTACTATCTAAGTGAGTATACCACTCAGGAGTCTAGAAGTCAAAACCCCACATACTTAAATTTCTGACCAGAAGAAATTAGGGGCAGACTTTGGAACCAGATAGCTTTGACTGCAACCCTGTCTTTGCTACCAACTAGTTGTTTGTTGTTGTTGTTATGTGCCGTGGAGTCAGTTCCGACTTATAACGACCCTGTACAGGGTTTCCGAGGCTGTAAATCTTTACGGGAGCAGAAAGCCTCATCTTTCTCCAGCGGAACCGCTGGTAGTTTCCAACTGCTGACCCTGAGGTTAGCAGCCCGATTCGTAACCACTACGCTACCAGAGCTCCTTAACTAGCTGTTTAGCTTTGAACAAGTAATTGAACTGCCTCGTGCCTCAGTTTCCCTATTTGAAAACCAAGGATGACACAGTATGGATCAACCCTGTAAGGTTGCTGTGACACTTCAAATCGACCATTTAGAACACTCTTGACACACAGAAAAGGGTCAGTAATTATCACTTACTGATTTGCTGTGATAGAATAACCACACATATTTCATTTTTAAACAATAAAAAAGCAATAGGTTTTTATTTCAAACTCTTTCTTACACTTAAGTAAAAGTTGTTCCCACATTTGTATATTCTTATTAAATCATTACTGTAACTCCCATATAGTACTTCAACCTGAACACAACTTGGAGTGTTTATTCTCATAATTAATTATTATCAGGATAATTAATTATTCTTCTAGGGTTTCCCCTATTCCAAGATCTCAACCCACACTGGGTCTTGGGATGATGAACACGATAGCTTTGAAAACTAAATTGTGCTGAAGAAAAATTTTTGCATTCATGAAATTACCCAGAAGTTCCTAATGTAAATCTTTCCCATTTCAACATTTCACAGTTGTTTGAATATTGATAGATTAGCTTCTGGTTTGTAATTGCTCAAAACCCACAGCACCTCAGAACAATATTCTATGTAGCAATAATAGCTGCAAAATGAGTCATGACAAATGGATTGCGCCAAGTCAACGCAGCTGCAATTGATAAAACAAACTTATTCCAATGGCATGTAACGAAAACCACACATAAAGGCTCCTGATTGTATGAAAAATATCAGCTTGGAAATTGTACATGAGAAAGTAACACTAAGCGTCCCCAAACAAAATCTTTTAAAATAAATAAACATATGGCAGAACATGGCATTAGATTTCCAGCTTTCAAGAATTCAGATGACACATTCACTAATGCTAAAAGAAGGTGGTTCTGAAATGTTGCTTGGTTTGTACCAATGACTGGTACAAGAAACAGATGATAAAATATTTTGTTAAAGTACAGGGAAAAAACCCCAAAAGTGGATAAACACTTATAATAATCCCATGTCTTCTTTCTTTTCCATGTTCCTGCTGCTGAGAGTATTTGAAAGCCTATGTATAAAAAGCATGGATTTTACACTTAATCACATTAGCCATGTGACCTGCAGAATATAATTTAATCTATTTGCACCTTAGTTTGCTCATCTGTAAAGTGGGGGAAATACATGTAAAGTGCAGGGTTCTTGTGAGAATGACAAATACTTTTTGCACAATAGCTGGCACATTATGGCTGCCCCAAATAACAGCTATCACTGCTGTTATGGGAAGGAATATGTTTGCTTTAGTACATTGTCTCTGTGTTGCCTGTTAAAATTAATGATGTTGCTGTTGCTCTGAGCTGTTGAGTAGGTTCTAACACTTAGTGAGGGTACCCTGTACAAGGTTTCTAAAAGCGGCTGGTGGTTTGAATGGCTGACCTTGTGGATATCAGTTTAGTGTCAGCGCCACACAAGGGCTCTTAATTAGTGATTGTTGCTGTTAAGTGCCATCGAGTCAATTCTAACCCATAGAGACTCTGTATAGGGTTTCCAAGGAGGAGCTCGTGAGGTTCAACCACCGACCTCGTAGTTCAAATGACTTTGCAATCTGATGCATTAGCCCACAGCACCACACCAGGACTCCTTACTTAGTTATAGTTACCTGCAAAGTTAATTACAAAAGGTGCAGTCGCAGAATAGTACCTGTAGACAGATCTTATGACTGAAATAGACTCAAACAGGGAAGTACTATTTTCTGACACTTTAAAGGCTGTGCTAATGTACCATGGCTTCAAGAACTTTGAAACTAGTTCCAGAATGTCACAGCATGATTCTGAATACAGATTCCTAGTTGTTGTTAGGTGCCACCGAGTAGATGCTGATTCACAGTGACCCTATGTAAAAGATAACAAAGCACTGTCTGGTTCTGCCTCATCCTCACAATTGCTGCACTGTTTGAGCCCACTGTTGTAGTCACTGTGTAATCCACCTTGTTGATGGTTTTCTTTTTTGCATACTCTCTACTTTACCAAGCATGATTTCCTTTTCTGAGGAATGGTCCCTCTAGATAACAAAGTCAAAGTACATGAGATGAAGTCTCGCCATCCCCCCTTCTAAGGAGCATTCTGGCTGTACTTTCAGGACAGACTGTTCATCTGGCAGTCTATGATGTATTCAATATTCTTCATCAACAGCATAATTCAAATGTATCAATTTTTCTAGATTCTATTTTATTAAGTAATTTGTTTCTCACTCATTCAAGGGCATTCTAAATTAAGGAATAAAATGTAGGGTTCTACCCACTAAGTTGGAGTCCTGGTGTGACACTGTAGGATAAGCACTGGACTGTTAACAGCAAGGTTGGCAGGATAAACCCACTAGTCACTCCTCAGAAATCCTATACAGACAGGGTCACTATGAGTTGGAATTGACTTGACAGCACTTAACAACAACAGTAACAACCCCACACTAGGTTAGGTTTCTTCTCAGACCTCTGATGCCATATAAATATAAGTCAATGAAAATACTCAGAACCTCTCTACTACCTTTTGAAATATTCCTTTGGTTATTAAAGCCATTTATTATATAAGAGGAATGGGAGCTCTCTGAATGGATCCTTATTATTTAAATGCCTATGATAATTTTGAAATATTAAAACTACCCCTGGCACTCTCCCCTTTCCTCAGCCAAAAGAAGAGCAGAGCAACTATAAAATCAGTAGAAAATAATGGAAGAAAACAAATCAGCTTTAAATTCTTTACCCCCAAAAAGAATTCTGGTTCAATTTTAATGCCAAGCTAACACGGTAATTAACTTATAACATAGCAAAGACACCACTACTTAACTGTATGATTTAATGATCTATTTACCACGCAGGGAAGAATATCCACAAATCCTTCAAATTTTGTAAAACCTGCATAAAAATCGTATTAGTTTCTTATTTACCTTTAACGCTAAGGTTTATCTTCCACTGCTCATGCCTCTGTCTTCATAAATGGTAATTTCAATCTAAACAGCATGGCTGTTAAGAAAACACACTACAGAATAAAACACATAAAGGACTATGGCAAGATGATGTATACTATCTGCATAGACTTTCCCTTCAAATTGCTTATTTTAAGTTATTAAAATTTTTTACTACTTAAGTTAAACATGATACTTTCTCTACCTTGCTGAAAATTTTAAGAAATGTAGTTATTTGTAGCACTACATATGTAGTTCTTCCCAAACATTTATCATTTATTTTGAGTTTTGGGGAAAAAACAAAATGTATTTATTAAAGAGTTAAGGAGCTCTTAACCAGAAGGTAATGAACTCAAAGGTTCAAAAAAAATTGTTTGTAATTATATGCAAAAAAATTTTTAGGAGCGGGTTCATGACCCCTAAAAGTTTAAGAACCAATGCCAATGAGTATAATAAAACTGCTGAAATTATTATCAGCTGGAAGGTCTGGAATTACGTGATATCAGTTTTTGTTTTTTTTTAAATAGACTCTACCCATTACTCCAGTGTCATCAAGCTGTATTAGTTCTTTTGTAATTTTATTTACCGAATTCACTAAGTGATTTTCAAAGCTTACTGCCTCTAAAAATATGCACAGTATGTCAAAGGTAATGAAATATACATCTGGCAGCTGTAACTGATTTCAACTAGTAGATGAACCCATGGAACTGCAATTCATTTGGATGACAAGTCTCACCACACATTATGAGTTTATGCATTTCAAAGGGGCTTTAAGTTCAGAGTTTCTACAGCTGAAATGCATTACTCATACCACCCCCATTATTACTACAAGATGCCCTCCGAACCACCAAGAAAGACGGTAACCAGAATACTAAGCAATCCACAAAGACCTGCATAAGACAAAGGAAGGAAAGACATGTTTCATGAAAGAAAAGGTTGGAGATAGGAGACTTATGGTAAGCATGCAATTTACACAGAAACTTCCCGGGGCAAATGCAAGAGATGGGAATCAGATTCTCTCTGGCCAATGCCATAAAATACTACCAGAATTTTCTTTTTATAAGTATTTGGACCTTATAATCTGGTCTAAAAAGATACAACTCGAAGTCCTCTCTCAATGGGATCTGTCAGAAGGAGGCCTTGGGGAGCATATATCTTCTCATTCTGCTCTTGAATGTATTTGGAGACTTTCTTCAGAACCTGATAAAGAAACACCACAATTTTTTTTTACACATTTCAACAGATTTTCCTTTAAGTGTCAGTTAGATCTCAATATATTCAAGCAGTGGAATTAGTTTTCAAATCAAGGCATATGGAGATTCATATGGAGGGATACAGTCCTGATTATTTGGCTCATACCAATTGCACCCAACTCTCCAGGATTTAATACATAACAGTGTAGCAGGATGGACTCTCACTCAAGGCAAATGTGTATGCAGTATAAGTACAGATGCACACAAAGGTGTGATGAGAACAGAAACCTCTCCTTCTTACCCCTCAATCCTGGATATTGAGATAGAAATTGATGATCACTTAAGCAATAGTTAGTTATGCTTTTCTCTTTCTCAACTCAAAGTGTGGTCATCTTCTATTATCTAGGATAGTTCTGGGCCTTCCCTTTTAACATGGAAGAAGTGTTTCTTCTCTCTTTTCATCAATTTTCAGTAATGCACAGTCATTTTAGAACTGACAATTTTATTTCCTTTGTGAAAGCAAGTGGCATTAGCTGCCATGGAGTTTCTGATGACCACAACTTTCTTGTATCACTTCCATGAATCTCCCCTACAGTTTGCTCTATGTCCTAGACAGGGCCCTCAATTTATAAGTCTAGTATTAAGGTTGTAAAAGTCAAGGCAAATGTAGACAAAAACCAGATAAGATACAAAGAACTTCTGGAAATTGCCAAATCTCCAGCTTTAATAAGGGCAATTCTGAGACAGATAAGCTAGAAGAAAATAAATCTTAACAGCTATATCCAAAATCAAAGAGAGTTACATGTTTTATTTCAGACTAAAAGTCATCATAACCCCTTTCTGGCCTTCATGTTCAAAGAGGTTTGGATCCAGCTCTTTAAATTACTATGTTATTTCCCTAAATGCACACTATCAGCAAATGACAAAATCACACATAAAATGTGATCACAACATAAAGGGAAAAAAGAACCATATGAAATAAAGTTGGAAACTGAGCAATGATTTAAGCTCAAGTAGACAATGTAGCAGGTCAAGCTAACAAATTAGGATGTTACATTTTAGATGCTTTGGTATAAATTGATTTATAATTTAAAACTCTATGTGGCATATAATAAAAGAATCTTCTTACTGAAGGAAAAGAATTTAAAGAGTTTAGCTTACTTAGGTTATATCTTTGGAGGGTAATACAACTGCATGGTTTATGCTTTAAAAATTGTTTTTAAGGTACATGATATAATTTAAAGAATATGAGGGGCTAGCATTTTCTATATGTAATAAATTAACATCATTTCTATAGAAAATGCTTTTTCCTAGTGTTGCACTGAGCGCTAGTGTGCTGGACTGCAAGATCAGTTTGAACTGCAAGGTCAGAGGTTCAAGCTCATCAGCAGCTCCTTGGATACCCGATACAGGGTCACTATGAGTCGGAACCAACTCAAAGGTACTTAACAACAAGACCAATCTGCACAGGAGTCCTGTTAGTATAGTGGTTAAAGCACCTGGGTACAAAACCAAAGACTTTGGGTTCTAATCCACCAGACCGGTCTTTCTATGAGAGAGAGAGATGTAGCAGTCTGCTCCTTTAAAGACTTAAAAGTGCTGTCGAGTCAGTGTGACTCATAGCAACCCTGGGTGGGTTTAAGCCCCTGACCTTGTGGTTAGCAGTCCAGTGTTTATCCTACAGTGTCACACCAGGACTCCCCATAAAGATTATAGTCTTGGATACCCTACTGGGCAGTTCTACTCTGTCCTACAGGGTTGTTAAGAGCTGGAATCAAGTGAGGTTTGGTTAATTACCTGAAGTGATACATACATCACTCTTCTAACTACAAGTCTCAAAGAATCTTGAGATGTACTTGGTCTTTACAAGCAAAAACAATCTTAGCAACCATTATCTTTCTACCACAGTTTACCAGTCATTCCTTAAATAATGAACAGAAGAAAATGACCCACAAAGATGCCCAACCCAGGACTCTCAGTCTTCTATTTTCCTTCCCAACTGAAAGACCAGAATGAGACACTGAACAGCCAATCTCCCCTGTCATTAACACTCGGGAAGACACTTAGAAATAATGCTTGCATGTTGGGTTTCAAAAAACGGATTCCTTGAGAACAGCTTCCTTCTCTCTCTCTCTCCTTGGGTACAGATCACTAACAAAGACATAGCATTCCTGTATCTGAATCAAGCATACCTTTATTGGGTAAGGTGTTTAAACTTTAGTAACACTCATATGCACTTGGGTATCAGTTCAGAAAGAAAATAGTTCTTTCTTTTTGTACTCCAAATCTTATATGAAGGTATTACTGGACTAAACAAGATGCTTTTAAATTCTTACTCTCTCCAACAATAGAAAAGCATTAATAGGAATACATTCATTATCCCCCAGATAAAACAAAGCACCATTCTCACTCCAAGAAAACTATATGAACATTTTATTCACTACCTGGTGTGGCGCTGTGGGTAAATGCGCTGAACTACAAAGTCGGTTGGAAATACAAGGTCGTCAGTTCAAACTCACCAGCCGCTCCTTGGAAACCCTATATAGGATTGCTATGGGTTGGAACAGACTTAACAGTAACAGCAACAACAACTACTATTTTTGGTTAATCAATGCTAAAACAAACTACAGTATTTTACAAAACTGTCCCTGTTATTCTTACACTACTAACAAGACCTCAATCTGTATTTACAAAGCTCAATAGCCTCTTAACCACAATTAAACTTCAGAAAAGGCTACTATCCTCCCTGACAGCACCAGACTAGAGAAAGGTGACTAGATGCTCCAGAAAGAATAAATAGCCTAAGCACACAAAGTGACTGGCTTCCAAGCTTTCAAGAGGGAGTTTGGTTTCAGAGGGTGAGGGGAAGGTAGAATCTCCACTGAGTGGTTTCCAACCTGTCTAGATGAGACTGGTGAAAGGAGATGAAGATAATACTCTTATGGTTCAGTAGTGAATAACTGCTATCAGGACTGATTGTGAATGCTGCAAATGTAAAGGTAGATGTTTTGTAACAAAAGGATCGGAGTGACTGATTTTGCAGTCCAGGAGCGGTGGACCCTGGGACCATCAAGGGAGAAGAGCAGAGTATGGACCCTACCCAGAGAAACAGCGGTGCCAGAGATGGAGGCAGAGATGATGATGTGGAGAGATGCAGTGGCCGGGGACTCTAGACTCAAGGACGGACAGGGGCTGTGTGCTGATGGCCGGGGGCTGGTGTGCAGAGTATACCCTTTGGTTGTTTGAATGGTTATATATTCCTGAGTGCTTCTGTGTACATCCAAAAAAACAGAGGGATTGGAAGCAAATGCTGTTGAATGATGATGCATGGAGGGGATTGTAGTCAGTACAATGAAATGAAGGACAACGGAATGAGTGTAAGGCTGATGGTCTCCCATGTAAACAATCACTCAATTCACAATAATAATAATAAAAAAAAAGCCTAGCAAAGATAAGTGAGGTCAACAGGATCTTAGTAATTTCAGAAAGTGTTCATCTTCTCTCTCTTCTGTGTTTGCTTTATAGATTACACATAAGCAGAAGTGATGCCTTCTAGTAGATGAACAAGGCAGACAGCTAGAGAGGAATCTTCTACAAGCATTTTTGTTCCTTAATTATAATGGGTAGTAACAATAGAGAAATGACACTGGAAGTCTTTATCTTCATTTTAAATCAATAAAAAGCACATTATAGGGAAAAATGCACGATTGTTCTACAAAGATTTAAAGCGCCTATTTGAAATTTCAAAAAATTTAATCCACATGACAGAGTGTAAGCACTATTACATTTGACTTACTGTTTGTAGACTAGGAATTTCAGTGTTCAAAACACTAAAGATGAAACGACTCAGCTCTATTGTTTCATAAAGTGAAAAACAATAGCAAAAATTAGGAAAGGGAGAGGGCAGTTTTTCTTACAATTCTGACATTTTATTAAAAATACACATCTGAAATTTTTTCTTTTATACTGTGAACAAGTGCGAATTACTGCAATTTGATGAACTAGACTTTTGCCTATGAATGCAGTGACTCAAAATTCCAACCAGAATGGAAGGATTCTTTCATTATATCAAGGAACAACCTCATTTTCTCAGTGTACTGGGTTGGTAGGGATGAGAAATCTACACATTGGCTATCAAAAATGGGGAGCTACAGAGACATGAAGTGGCTGACTTACAAGCCTTCATGAGTATGCTTAGTTTCAGTATGACGAAGATAAAGTAGAATCCCTACTGAATAGTTTCACTCTTTCCCAGATGGATCTGATGAAAGGGGATGGGGGACAACAGTGATAGGATTTTACAATTCAATTGTGAGTAATTGTTAGCAGGATTAATTGCAATCATCACAACTGTAATTGTAGAAGATGTGTAACTAAAAGGAGGGAGTAATCTTTTATTTCAGGAACAGACCATGCTAGAACCATCAAGAAGGAAGAGCAGGAGTGGACCACGAGATTCGTACTTGGAAAAGCAATGACAGCAGAGATGGTGGCATGGAGAGACAGCAGTTGTAAGCTCTAGGTCCATGCACCTGTGGGCAGGAGGCTGGCTGGCAGAATGTGCCCTTTGGACATTTAAATGAATATATATTTTTTGTTTTGTAATTGTAAAAAAAAATATTTTTCTTTGAAAAATAAAACAAGGCACTGTAAGATTGCTGGCTCAAACTCATCAGTGGCTCCTCGGAAACACTATAGAGGGTCACTATGAATTGAAATTTAACAACATTTAATTAGGATCATTCAAGTTACTCACTTTATATGATCTAGTTTTTTATATCAATTTCTAAAACGCCCACTTATTTTAAAATGTGCCCACGCCCCAAGTTTAGGTGTTTTGATTACTTTTATGTGGTCTTTATTTGCTTATAATCTACAAAGAGAAAGGAAATTTGTTTTAAACTGTAAAGTAATACCTTATGTTGTTTTATTGACCCTATGGAAAAGCATAGAACTGTAATTTTTATGGATGCTGAATGCCACATCCTTCTCATGTAGAGCAGTTGG